GGTCCCTCGAAGTATCCTACAAATTATCATCATAGGTAGAAAATCCGAATGGAACCAAACCCGAGCAATTTCATAATTAAATTTAGACCCGACGGTTCCAGTTTCTAAATACCCGAAAATTTCGGGTCGGCTCGGTTCTTAGTAGAACCAAACCGAACCGAACCGAACCCGACCATGTCCAGCCCTAATTAAAATAAGATAAAAGTAACTATAATAATTTATTTTATAACATAAAATCTAACAATTAATATGTCCAAAATAATTTACATTGTTCAAAATGATATTATTTGTGATTATAATCTTGTTGAGGCTATGATTTTTAATGAGAACAATAAAGTAAACTAGTAAACACTTAAAATTGATAATTGACTAGTATCCCACATTGAAATATCACTAAAATATTGGAGGAAGAGTATCCTTTAAAAACTAGTATCCCATATTGGATATTATTAAAACATTCTAAGAGGAGACTCCTTTAAAAATGAGCTTAATGAGCATCACTTGGATAAAAATTATTTGGGCCTTCTAATTTAATAGGTGAGCCCATAAAAATAGTTAAAATATTTTTTGAAAAAAAAGTCAATATCGTTCAGTTAATATATGAAGATCGGACCGGATTTGAAGTCGGTTCCGATTTTTCAGTTGAACCGATCGGTCCAATCTGGTTTGATTTTTATAACATTGAATTTTTTTTCTTTCTAATTTTTTCCAAATTCGGATCGGGTATTCGGATCGGATATCTGATAATATAACAAATTAGATATGAATTTAACAATCACATACATATATTGGATTATCGGATCGGATCAGATAATTATTCTTAACGGATCGGATTGAATTTGGACAGATTGGATCCATATCCAATCCATTGACAATCCTACCTACAGGATGGATTTGTCGAGTGGAGCAATTTTTCGAGTTCCAAGATACAGAAGAGGCGGACAAACTTTTGATGGCCGGATATCACGTAGATGGCGATGTTCAATTGTGGTATCAACATTCAAAACAAAGCGTAAAGGCGTCAATTGGGAGACTTTCAAATCTGAGTTGCATCTCCTTTATAGTCCATCAAGATTCCACAACTTTTTTGGGGATCTCACCAAGGTTAAACACATCGGAAGTGTCCGTGAGTATCAAATGGACTTCGACCGATTGCTCCATCGAACAGGCCATTTATCCGAGGAGCAACAAGTTGGGTATTTCGTAAGCGGCTTAAAGGAGTCCATATGCGTGGACGTGCAAGCATGTAACCCTTCTTCCTTGTCCGTCGCTATTGGTCTTGCACGACTCTACAAGTCTCGTGTGTACAAACAAAGAAAAGAACAGCTATGTGGATATTCGAAAGACCCCATACTCTGCCGAACCACCACCCTTACCCTTAGCCTCCCACACACGAGCATGCCATCCTACTATTAAGAGATTGAGCCCAGAAGATTTACAAGATAGGAGGACACGAGGTTTGTGCATCAATTGTTACAAAAAATTCTCTCCGGGGCATCATTGCAGTAAGTTATTTTTTATAGGAGGGGTCTTTCCTTCCCTTGAGGAGTCGTTGGTAGAAAGGACATTGGAGGATGAAGTGGAGGAAGATATTCCCGAAATCAGTTTCCATGCTATTTCTGGGAATGCAGCTCCAAAGACCATGCGGTTTCTTGGCAAACTTGGAGTCTGGAGATTCGATGATCACAATTTTGATAGATTCAGGAAGCACTCATAACTTCCTAAATCTAAAAATAGCTACCAAACAGGGAATTTCTCCAATAAAGAAAGGCGAATTTTCTGTGCTAGTGGTCGATGGCAGTCAAATGAAGAGTAAAGGGTTATGTAAAAATCTTCCTATTTCGGTGCAAAAGGTGCAATTCCACGTGGATTTTTTCCTCCTACCTGTGGAGGGATGTCATGCAATTTTGGGCACTCAATGGCTGAAACAATTGGGGCCGATTGTATGTGATTTCAATGAGCTTTGGATGCGATTCCGTTGGGTGGGAAAATCGGTTGAATTACGTTTTTTCCTTGAGGACAAGGAAATCTTCAAGGGAAAAGGAGTTGTTAGCGACCAAGGATAATGGAATGAGAGTGATTAAAGTCAATAATAGTAATGTTAATTTCATAATCAATGTTATTTCCTTTCAATAAGTTAGCATGAATTATGCATATGAAATTGCCTTTCTCCTAAAAATATATATTACCTATTTTAGCAAAGGCTGTTCGGCTATTTAATAGCTTGAGGCCATAAATATTGAGGCCATAAATAAATTTCATCCATGATCATTATCTCCGACCTTGAGTTGATAGGAATTGTGGTTTTTCTTGAGTTAAACCAACCTAAGGAAGTCCAAGGGTCCCTCGATATATCCTACAAATTATCATCATAGGTAGAAAATGCAAGAACGATCCTTGTCATCTACCTGTCAATAAGCCCGCTACTAGATCACAATCTAAAGCACGTGACAGTCAGTATCCGAAATTTTACCAACTCTTATCCAGCCTGTTTGGAGGGTCAGTACCTTGAACTTTACCCGCTTTTCCCATATTTTTCTATTGATTTAGGAACTTTAAATGTTTTTGCTAAAACTAAAACATTAATTTTTCTCATACACTTTCTTTTTTATTTTTCACCTTTAAGAAAAATATATCCATCAAATATTTTCTTCCAACGAACAAGAAGACACTTATCTCCATCAACAATGACAAAGACCTCAAGTACCTGGAGTTCATTCTACATCAATTTGCAAGATTTGATTGGATCGATTTCTTCAAACTCAATATTCTACACCATATTAAGTTTGAGGGGAGGATGTTAAAGATGAAATATTGTCAAGAATATTTTCCATTATATTTTTCAATTATGTAGAATTATTTTCCTTAGTATTTGATTATGTAATTATTACACAATTTTTCCTTTTAAGTTTATTTCCTTTTACAGTTAGGGTCTTCTACTTTGTAATAAACAAGAGTTTATTATAATAAAATTTATATTTTTCTTAACATTATTTCTCATTATATCTTGCACTTATGGTTTAGTCAAACATATATACCCTGTCACTTTTCCATTTATAAGTGTATTTTGATCCCAATTATATAGTAGGTCGTAATATCTAATACACGTATCAGTTGAACTATAACAATGAGTGTTGAGTTTTCATACTTCCAAGAGTAATAGAAATTTTTCTATGCTTGACATGCTCAAATTAATCGACAAATTTTATTACATTTTACTTTTCTAAAATCCTAAAAAACTTATTTAATTTATCTCTAGTGTATAAAACATGTCATAAGTACTTAACACGATAATAATTATCTCAATAAGCCATAACAATTTTTCACTTGCATTTAATATTTGAGCAAATAATAAAAATACCTTGATCATGGATATTATTATAAATTAAGCAATTAAGTCAATAAAGTGCCAAAAAAAAAATCAATTTATAAAGTGATCAAAATTAATCGTACATGACCAGTTAATATTGTGTGATACTTTATTTTGATAATATCGTATTAATTTGATCAACGTTTATCTTGACTTTGGTCACAGAGATACAGAACAAAAAAAAGTTTTTTGTTTTTTGGAAAAAAAAAAAAAAAAAAAAAAAAAAAAAAAAAAAAAAAAAAAAGGGGTCCAGGGACCAACTTTTTTGGTCGCTGAAGTGCTTTTGCAACCAGAAAACTATGCTCGCTGGCTGATCGGTAATAGACTGTCAGTGAAGCTTTACAGTGACCAATACAGTGTGGTCACTGCATACATGTCTTCCAGCGACCAATAAGTGGTCACTAAAAGGGTCATTTGTGGTTGCTAGAAAGGTAAAAAATGGGTTGGATGTGGTCGCTGCATATATATCTTCCAACGACCAATCGTCGTGAAAGCTGCATATATGTATTCCAACGACCAATCGGTGGTCGCTAAAAGGGTCATATGTGGTTGCTTGAAAGGTGAAAAATGGGTTGGATGTGGTCACTACATATGTATCTTCCAGCGAGCAATAGTCATGGTCGCTAATTATGAGACTTCCAGCGACCAAGCTTTGGATGGTCGATGAAGGGTAGCTATTTGGGTTAATTTACAGCCATTTGCAACCAATCCTTGGTTAGTGAAGATTAATATCTATATTTTAATAGCAAATATTTTGTCTATTGTTTCAATTTTCAACCACTACAACCACAAAGACAAAATTGAAATTTGTAATTTCAATAATAAGAAAAAATTAACAAGAAAAATGTTGCTACAAAAATTAGATTGCATTGGACATATAACAAGTACTAACATTCGATACAGAACCCAAAATGTTTAATATTTTACCACAAAAATATATTCAACCTAGATTGAGTTGTTGAACCATTTACAACAAATTGAGCAGAAGGCATTGAGGAATGAATGTATAATTGATTAGAGTGTTGTCCTTTCCCACAGAGAGTTGGACTTCCATTGTTGCAATTTGGATAAGTAACAAGTGGCATGTGCTTCGACTTTCTTTTTTGTGCCATCTGTATGAACATTAAAAAAATGAACAATGAGACACTACTAGAAAATGCGGTTCCAGAGACGGAATTTTTCGTTGCTGATACCTTAAATTCCGTCACTAAAGACCTTCACAAACGGATTTCATTGGGTGGAAAATCCATCAGTCATATGCCCGCCACTAATTTAATGACAAATTACATCTTTGGTAATTTAGTGACGAAAGAGGCCGTCATCGTTTTACCTACAGCTATTGCCTTCACTAATTAGCGACAAAATTTTACGGATTATGTTCGTTGATGATTACCAATGGATTTCCGCCGCTATTTCCGTCGCTAATTTAAATAAAAATTTTAAAAAAAATTATTTTAATAAGTATTTTCTAAAAAACGTCATACATTTAAAGTTTAACCATGTTGAAATCCAATAAAATGTAAACATTCCTTAATTTTTTAGTTCAATTTTCACAGAATTGACTACGTAAATCAAATGACCAAAAAAACTCGAACGGAAACCAAGATACAAAATCAATATGAAAATCAAATTCACAAATATCAACCCCATAATTTCTTAATTTCAACACCAGCTAATCATTACATTGCAGCTGAAATGAATTTATATTTAAACAAGAAAATACCGTTACTTATGCAATTTAGTGGCTAAAACAAGGGGGGAAACAAACATTTAAAATTTACATTTGACGAAACAAAAAAGAAGAAACTGGAGCTTACGCGGCAAGAAGAGACAGCAAATATACATAATGCCACCAAAGTGTTCGAAGCTTAGCCTCTTCAATCAGATCTTGTACACTCTCCATCGCATTCTTCATTTATTCTTGAACAAAACCTAAATTAGTTCATAATGATTAACAATTCGAACTTCAACGAGCAAAAGAAACTATACACAAAATATCATCAAATTATGTCCCCTCCCGTTTCGTGAAAAATAAATTAAAAAATCCAAAATTTCAGTCAACTTAAGTTTAACCTAACATGGTCGAAGTCCCATTCATCACTGGTGAAATCAAACCGTTCTTTTAAATCTTTGGTTTTTAGTATGTTCGACAAAATCAAAGCTAATATCAAAATTTGTTTAATATTTTAATATTTCATTTGATGCAGATAAAAATATAAAAAGGAAATAAGTAGTTCAAATAAATTTCATTTGGTAGAAGGTATAATTCACTTGTTTTTAAAGAAAATGACTTATATCTAACAGCAAAATGAATAGTATTCCAAAAACTTACATAGAAGCTGTTTTCCTTTGTTTGATTTCCATCATCTAGCACTGTAATCATCCAATTCACAGAAAATTCTGTCACCGATGCACATATTTGCACGGTTAGTCATGCACTAACTTTTATATACATAAGAATTGATAATTTAAAAAGTTAGAAAAATACAGATTTTCTAATCATCTAATTCAGAGAAATGCTAAAACCCAATCTATAAATGCACTCACAATATATTGTACCTAAGTAGACACTGAATTTTACACAAAGATTTTAATGGTTTAAAAGAATTAGAGAAATATAAATTTAGCTAAACTCTTGTTCTTTTCTTTTCCTAAACCTATAGGTGTATTTCGTTAGCAATAGAGAATCAAGCCGTCTGTGCAAGTATCCCTGGCATTCATATAGATACATTTTCTAACATATACAAAATCCATACAGAATTGAAAAAATAAAGAACAAAAAAAAAAAAAAAAA